TCTAAAATTGTACCAAAATACTTGCATCACACCCTAGTAGCTCTTAGAGATGGGAGCAGAATCAGTTCTGATCACACTATTCTGATGGAAGACTATATTCCTCATGAAAAATGCCAATACTGATTTTTTTTAATCTATTCTTTTCCAAATGCACTTTCTAATTTTTTGCTTTTAAAATAGCTTCTTGGAACCAATATTATTGTATTTGTACTTAATTTTTGTTCTCATCTAAATGTGCATTTTCTGACTGTATAGAAAAAACTTTGTTATATAATTTAATAAATTAATTATCTAAAATAGCCATGCCTGTGGTTATCTGTACTGGTGAGATAACCTTGCACCCTTCTGGGATTATGATGTCACTGCTGGCAAAGGACTTCTCAAGATGCCCCAAGCCTTTGAATGAACAGTTGGGTGGTGTTTGAGCTCAAGAATGAAGGAAAGAGAGACTGGAGAAGTCAAGAGCACTGGCTGCTCTTCCATAGGAGCCAGGTTCAATTCCCAGCATATATGTGGTACAGACATACATGAAGGCGTATCTTTATCATAAAACGTCAGAGATTATGACAAAAATCTAAAACTGTATTTTAGTCAGAAACATTATGTCCTCACCTCCTTAAATGACTATTTAAACTTGATTCTTCAGAAATAGAAATACCTCATTTCCCAGCCCTTGAACCAGATGTTCTTACACATGTTTTTGTCTCTTTTTACAATAACACTAATCAGGGCCGCCTACAGCTCAACAGTAGCGCGCTCGCTGAGCATGCAGGAGGCCTTGGCTTTGAGTCCCAGTACGACAAAAATCAACAAACTAACAGTATAATGTGTGCAATCCATGTAAATAAATTCAGCCTTGTAAAGCGTACTGATGGACTTCAGTGTACCAGTTATATAGCTGCAAGACCAACCAGAGCGAAGCCCTGCCCCCACAGCAGCTGGCACTTTGCTCTGTCCTTTATCTGACACATCCGTTCTCCCTTCCTCAGCACTGCAGCCACTCCCTCCTGACCAACACGACTTCTTCCCTGGGGATCGTAACCTTACAACCCACTGTGTGCTGCTGTGCGTGCACACTCCCATGTAAACACAAATAACAACCAACGCCTTCTGTGGGTAGCCTTTCCATTTCTTAGATAGGAAACACAAGTGGGGCTTTGCTCAGTCACTGAGTGGGTGGTAAAGGGGCTTGAGTCTTGAGGGCTTGTTTTCCCTGCACTGGGGGTGGAAGCCAGGGTTTTGTGCATGCAAGTGTTCTACCACTGAGCTATATCCCTAGCTCTTGACGGCTCTGATGTCAAATCTTAACAGTTTTACAAAATCTTTTAACTCTAGCTGCCTGATGAAGAAATTAGGAAGCCGGGCGGTGGTGGCACACACCTTTAATCCCAGCACTCGTGAGGCAAAGGCAGGCGGATCTCTGTGAGTTCGAGAGCAGCCTGGTCTACAAGAGCTAGTTCCAGTCGGTCTCCAAAGCCACAGAGAAACTCTGCCTCGAAAAACAAAAAGAGAAATGAGGGAAATAAAAATCACCAATTTTGCTTAAAAGTAATCGTTTAGAATTTTATAGCCTTATTATTAAAAGGCAAGCCATTATCCAAGTGCTTGTTGAGAGGCCCCATCTGTGAGTTACATTCACCTATGAGTACTGGTGGACTGCACTGGTGGACTGCAGTGAAGTCAAAAATGCTTAGCTCACTAATTCAGAGTGCAACTTCTCTCCAGCCTCTTGCACCCACTTTCGTAGCCTTCCTGGCCAGCACCAAGACTATCCAAGTAACTGCAATGGTGCCTTTCTGAAGGTGAGCCCTCTGAAGGCTGCTGTTGCCACTTGCTCAACCCTTTCCTCACAAAAGGCACTGAGCTTGGCCCAGGGTACCCTGGTCTCATAGCAAGAGATGACTAGAAGTAGCAAGTCCGTTGCTGGAAGCTCACTGAAAATGTCTGCCATCGGGACATTTTCCTTAGTGTAAAAGCCAGGAGAAAAACAAGACTCCAGAGGACAGATTGTGCGGCCCAGCTGCAACTAACAGGATTCTTCTCCTTGGCTACAGGTTCCCAGCTCAGCAGGAGCCACTCAGTGTGCAAAGCTCTTTTCTATGCTCTCAGAAGACTTAAGAACCTAAAAAGACCGGTGCTGAAGCTTTAACTTCCTGCTTAGAATTCCCACGATGCTGGAAGACTTTCTTTCCTCCCCACATGGTCCTTTGATAACTTGCCCTGACATCTCTGTGGTTTTCCATTTGTCTCCTTTGAGAGATGGGGCTTTTAGCAAATGATCACTTATCTTAACCCATTTGTTTTGGATATTTTCAAAGACCCAAACTTTTGCAGAAATTTCTTACATCTTTAGGAGCACACCAATATGGTTGGTACCTGCTTTTAACCCAGTGCCAATAGGGTTAAACGTGAAGGTGACATTTTATATTTTTTACCCTAGAATAAATAAGCCCACCATCCTCTCCATTCGCTTCTCCATGTCATGTCTCACTGGAGCTGGTCCACACTGCCTGACTGTGGCAGCTGTTGTGGGCATGCCTTCCTGCCTGTCTAACCTCTTTGGCACCCTGCACGTAGCAGCCTAATTTAGCTTCCTGAACAACCTATGACCTGACATTATTGAAGAGCAAGACACGATGAAATTCCTTCCCTGAACAAGACAACAATGTCTACTCCTCCTTCCTGTGATCTCAACAACAAACTGAGGAACGATTCCTCCCAAAGTTGACGCTGGGGAGCCAATGAGTTTATTAGACTTGCCTACAAAGCAGTGGGTCAGGGGTTATGGCAGGAGCAGGCGTGACCCTAAAGCAGCCACACTGGACGGTCTACACCCAGCATGAATAGTGAGTCCTCTGGGATTACATAGATGGAGCCCTTTCCCCTAGTTCTTCCCAGCCTGTGTACTTTAGCTTGTCCCTTAGGCCCTGTGTAATTAGGGCAGACTTGTACACAACTGGTTAGGAGAAGTCCCATGACCCTCTGGAACCCTCCCGTCTATGAGGAAACGCCAACAGTCAACAGGCCCAGCTGTGATGATCGTTTGTGATGAGGCCCAGAAGAACTGAAGATGGCAACAGCATGGCTTAGAAGACAGCCCTAGATCAGTGATTCTCAACCTGGGGTCAGGACCCGTTTGTGAACCCTTTCACGTTACAGTTCATAACAGTCGCAGAATTATAGTTATGAAGTAGCAATGGAAATAATTTTGTGGTTGGGGATCACCACAATATGAGGGTTGCTGAATTAGGAAGGTTGAGAACCACTACCCTAGACAGACCACTCTTGTCCTTACATTATTTCCACAGTCTCCCCAAGGGATCCCGAGCCTCAAAGGAAGTTAAATAAAAGCCTGGGGCCCTCTCGGTAGCCCCTGTCTCTAGAATGTAGCTGTTGGTGAGTCTTG